AATTGCACATATTTGTCCAAACTTGTCGAAATTCAGCATATGTTTTATGCTAATTTTTTATTTGTCCAGTAGATGGCACTGCAACTTTATGTAAAGACCTCACAAAGACGCATCTTTTCTTTTTGTAAAGGTTTTACTTTACAAAAACAAACTAAAGGGACTGAATTGTCCCTTGTTTGTTGGTTTTTACCCATTTAGTTAAAAAGTTATTTAGTTTTTTAACTAAATAACTGCTTCCTACAAAAAGTGTATCTCATATTTCATGACCTCTCACTTGTATGAGTTCTCATATGATAAGTCAAAGCACTACTTTTTCTAAAAGATTTAACACACAACTTACAGGGATACGGCTTCTCTCCTGTTCTCATGTGTTCAGTTAAGGCTCTTTGCTTGGTGAAAACTCTTCCACACGTCAGACACGAAAAAGGTTTCTGGCCTGTGTGGGTTCTTACATGAATAGTCAACTGACCACCATATCTGAAAGTGTTACCACAAAAGTTACATGAATATGGCTTCTCACCTGTGTGAGATCTCAAGTGCACCATCAAGTTAGACTGTTGGGTGAAATCTTTTCCACAAGTCAGACATGAGAATGGTTTCTCACCAGTGTGAGTTCTAAAGTGACGAGTTAATTCATTAGGCTGTCTGAAAGATTTATCACACAGTTCGCAGGGATGTGGTTTCTCGTCTGTGTGAGTTCTCAGATGTTTAGCTCTATTACTGTGGTTAGTAAAAGATTTACCACATAATTTATAAGTATATGGCTTCTCCCATGTGTGAGTTCTCATGTGGTCTGTCAAGTACTTGCGCTTAGTGAAGTATTTACCACATACTTCACAAGAGGACAAATTAGTGTTTTGCGTTTTTGGTTCTGAATTGTCCATATTGTCTCTGTGATTTCTGGTGTCCTGTGGTCTCCTCTCTGTCCTCAGGTCTTCATCTCTACTGGATCCTGAATCTTCCTGGTTCTCATATTCAGTGTGGTATTCAGAGAGCAGCTGGTCTTTGTTTAGTACTGGTTCACTACTGTCTTTTTGCTCACAAGTTGAGGTTATTATAAAAGTCTTGGTTTCAGGCTTCATTACAAGCTGTTCTTCATCTTGTAACAGGATATCCTCCTGTTCTTCTTTAATCTGAACACATTCTGGCAGTTCTTCTTTAAACTGCACAGGGTCTGGCTCCTCCTCCTTCATCTCTATAGGTTCTGGTTCCTCTTTTGTCTCCATCATCTGCTGCAGTTCTGGTTCATCGTCACCAGGTGTCACCATAGCGGTGTTGGTCTCCTGCTTCACCAAGACCTGCCCTTCATTCTGAAAGATACACTGTTCAACCTGTTCTTCTTTGACTGGTTGAAGTTCTGGTTCCTCTTTTGTTTCAGTTGGCTGCATTTCTGCTTCCCCCTGTTCCTTTATTTGTCTAATGTTTATCTTTTTCTCAACAACTAAGGTCTTCTTTTCAGTAACAAGAAGCTGATCAGCATCAACCTCCCATGTAGTAACAGACATGATGCTGAAGAAGGCCTGAAGAAATAAAGAACAATAGGAAGTTAATGATTTTTTTGTGAAATGGCCTCTTGTATCATGTCCAGAGGATCCCAATGCATTTCACACCCTGATGGTGTCAAGCTACTGTGCAGTAGCCACAGGTTCCTTAAGGCAGTCTGACAGAGGCAAGGCTGTAACGCTACTGACCACCACCAGCAAGCAAGATGGGTGAAGTGCCTCGATGGAAACGGACAGAGTGGGGTTCGAAGCAGCCACCCACTGATTACAGGATGAACTCCTACCACTGGTGCCACCGTCGTCTCTTCAGAAAACTGAACCAAATAGTTTTCTGTTAGGTCTTGTACTGCTTCAAAGCCAGTACAAGTAGAGTTTTAAATATGGCTCTCACAAGCTTGTCCAGATTGGCTGCAGTTCCCTTTGAGTCTTTTGGCTTTAGCTCCTGACAAAATGTCAGTTCTGGGGTTCTGCAGGGTTCAGTGCTTGGACCACCATTAAACAGCATGGGATGCATGTCTCTTGTTAGGAGGATTATTCTCAGCTGTAATCATCTATGAATCCCAATCCAGAAGACATAAACGTCTGCATTACTTTTAGGGAAATCAATTATTAGAGGCTGATTCCAGTCATTCTCCCTTAGTTTGTGTCAGTTCTTCAAAGACTGCCCTCCTTCAGTTTCTTTTTTCAGTCCTTATCCATAATCCATTTGCTTTATTTGCTATTAGATAAGACAAATAACATTTGTTTCTGATATGATTTCAAATTTTTGGGAGCATTTAAAAATATCCAGTATAAAGGTGACTTTAGTTTCCATTGAATCACTTTCAATGTGGATTGATTGTATGAGCTGCACTTAAGGTCATTGCTGCGGCCATGAAGTGATTTGCGGAAGTGTAGCGACCCGAAATGAACTGAGGGTTACACATTTCTTGCTGGTGGACACCCATAGACATAATATAAGCATAGACGCCTCATGGACCGCTCCGGCGCAGGAAATACGGCGGCCATCTTGGAGC